TGTCGTAAAAAGATTTCGACGCAAATTCAGTAATTTTTCCTCTGGAACATATGTGAAAGATTTATGTTATTTTTCACACACGTCTGAATCCAGGGTGTGTGCCAAACAAATCATGGACCGAAAATCCTTATAAAAACGGAAAGGTTCCATAAGTTGAATGTGGGCTGAATACTGCCAGATTGCCAAGGCCAAGGCAGGTGAATTCTTTGGAGGAATCGACAACCAGAGCCTTCGGCTGGCCAAAGCCTGACCCGCGAGGTAGCGGGGTGGTGTGTGAAAACCGCAATCCACTGGGAACCGGTGCCCAGTTCATCGGATCATACGCCTTTCCAACGGGTTCAAACGTCCAAAGTGTCCAATATAACTCGATACCCAATCGAGCCGGCGATCATTGCCACAACCGGGAAGGTGTGTGTGTCGTTTGTAGGCCTCCTCGTTGTTGGTTTGGAATCAGGGTCTTAGCCAACTCCCCTAGGAGAACTGCCAGTGGTCCACCAAACCGGTTATATCCCCGGATGTCGGCTTTTCGTCCTCTCACTTTGGTGGGAAAACACCTTCGCCACGAGAAGGCAGTGAGTAGAGCTTCCGCAGCAGAGGCTATCTGGGACGCCTGATCGTATGGGAGCATTTTGTGAGGTACAATGGAAGGGAGACCAGTCGCAACCCTAGACACCCACCCCTGACCAATGTGGAAGAATAGATGGGAAATAAAATGGAATATGCAGATGAGAGTGACACATTGCCAAACAAAAATGGAGATGACAGGTCTCTGAGCAGAGAAGTGTCTGAGATCGCGAATCTCAACGCTCAGTCTGTACAATTTATTCAAACAGCATGCCATGGGACAGAAATCCGACGAAGATTATTGTCCAAAGTCAAACTGAGATAGTTGGCTGTAAGTGTGTCCTTGGGACTGACTGCGATGTGAAACGTAGTGAAGCCTATTGCGGATTACTAATCGCGCAGATTACTTACAGTTCTATGGAACAGGAAGTGACTATTTTTTGTAAACCTACTATTTTAACTTTACTACTTATCATCCACTTAAATTAAATTGTTCAATGCAATCTAACAATAACTCCCGTGGAGACTCGTCTTTGCAATTGTTCTAACTGTGACAGTATGGTTCAATTCACTAAAATTTTCGTCCCAATTTAAGTCTTAGATTAATCAGATTGGTAACGCGGTATCCGTGTGAGTAAACTATTCCTGCATTAAGCACCTTCCGTACTACACGGTCTAATCACGTCTACAGTTAAGTACACAAGAAATGTGAATAAATGCTTGGAGCGGTGTAAGAAGTTGACCAGTTTTGTACAAGATGGACGCATTGAACCCGCATGAATTTGTTGACCACGCACAGTATTTTAGTTGATTATCCAAAGTGGTAAATCAAATTTCTGTAAGAGCCGTTCGCTGAATCCGCCTTCGATCGGTGTTCGGGAAGTTTCATAGAGTTTGCATCCAGTTATCTGCGGCTCTGTTCCAGTGCACACCACATACAATGCAGATATGCTATTTCTGTGCGTGGATGCCTGGTGGCATAAATGCCGAAAAATGTGTTCCTGTGAAGAATATTGATGACACTGGCGCTGACATCCAGGGGAATCTTTGGTCAGAGACAACTATCCTGTTAGATTTCAGTAAAAATTATTAGATAAATTATCACAGCCAATTAGATTGATGAGAATCTCCTACTGACAAATGCACCATTAACTGGAAATAATGTTGAATTAATTAAGACGAGTATTATACAAAGATCATCAATCGGTTTTTAGTTATCACTCCTCTATCTCGGTAACCGATTCTCTCAAAAGACATCCTTTTGGCTATCTTGTCATTAACATTCATTGAGCTCTATAAACTTCCCCGCCCCTAATGAGAATTTCAGACGAATACTGAATGCCAAAATGTCACACCCACATATAATAGCAACTGTCGTTGAAATCGGTATGCATTTTACGAGTCTCAAGCCAAGTCAACTTGAATGCAATGTGAGTCGAATCCGAAAAGATGTCGTGAAAAAATATCACATTTGCCTAACTAAACTGGACGGGATGAAAATTCACAGTCGAGTTTTGCTGAATCGTTTCGGTAGGTAAACTAAAATAGGAAATATGCACGAGTAGCGATTAGTAAACGCAGCCTATGTAAGGTTTTACTTCACGAAATCGCCCGTGCTCTCTTCCATTTTGACCTTCGCATGACAGATGATTAGCACGTCTAATTTGACTACTTATTAGTAACCCAATTAGAAAGATCAAATGTTTTAGATAATTTGCAGAAGTGTGAAAAATCCGTCATTCCGTGGAAATGGCATTGCTTATCGGTACCATCGACTCGCTTATTTCCCGAGTAATTACCGTATACATAAGTTTCCGGCTGTGATCTCATGGCATACTTATTGCTTACAGTAATACCGGCCAAATTTGTTGACATATATGTTGGGCGAATCATGCATGATCGATGAAGGATTCATCCTCTACCCGGCATATGGTTTACATAAACAAGAACAATGAATAAATGCTTGTATTACCTCAGCAGAGCTTCTGGGCTCGTTATGTGATGTTCAATACCAAAGAGTAAAAAATAAAGCGTCTTCGAAACCAAATTTTACAAATCTTAAACAATATTAGTGTCGAAGATTTGATCTCTGACTTGGAAAATTTAGTCGCCAAGCAACAATAGACATAACATCTTGGAAGCATTCACCGTGCAGTTTTTTTAGACTTTCTTGGCTTCCATTATCTGGGCAATTTCATCGAGCCAATTGATGGCTACTGGATCAGGCAAAATTTATCATGTAATACAGCTTTCTAACTAGTGAATTAATTAGAAATGTGCCCAATGGACAGTGCCCATATTAACGAGATGACTGGCTTATAACAATAAACTATGATATGCAATGTATAATGATAGCAAAAAATCGAATTAGTAACTCAGTGTCCAAAAGAGTTATGTGGTTATGTTCCCCAGTGATCCTAAAAGCACATGCGAACCACTTCGCACAAATTGTTTCATTCATCTTTAACACATGTTTGTCAGAGGGAAGACTAGAGTTAACACGCAGCAGTTCATTTATTGGAGGAAATCATGGGGGTTATATAAGATGTACAAAAGAAGGTTATCCATACATCCACCAATCACGTGCTCGTATTTTTGGCGTCGTACAGCTTCTGTATGGCCGCATGCCTTCTGATTGGTCTATCCAGACGGCCTATGGTTTGTCGTCCAGAAGCCGTAACGCGTAGGCGCTTGCTGGAGTCATCGGAGAAGCTTGACTGATCACAGTTGTCCGGAAACTGTGTGTCACCCCGTGATTTGCGTCATCTCGTAAGCTTGGATCATCACACAAACGCACCTGTGTTATAATGGACTCTCGATCGACTCATAAACATGCGTACCAATTTGTGCGATTGATTATTCGGTATTCACTGTACAACAGTCATTCCCGAACGCATCTGAAAGTGTGACAACACCTAGCATGTAAAACGTAGTCCGGTAGTCAAAGTAAGATGCTTGAGTACTGATGTATTCTAGGGTCCCGGTCTTTGGCAAGCTCCCTTTAATTTGCCGTGTAACCGCACACATGAATGACTCCCATCTAGGACCCCCAACACTTTGCTTTAGTTGAAAGCACATCCATAAGCTATCATGAATGATTGACAGAGGGCAACACAATTCAGTTCACTGAAATGCTTTCGGTTCTTGAGGTAAAGTAAACGCACGGAACAATCTTCGGATTTATTGACATACCAAAAAAGACATATGTACACTCAAGGAAAATGAACTCTTGTCGGTGGACCATTTGCGTATTTTATATGAGACAAAAGTTTGGATGCTGGCTGGATTCCATCCGAGGTCACTATCACCAAAAACGGATTGGAATTTTCAGATCCATCCTAATCGAATACGTTTTAGCATGGATTTTGAATGAAAATTGAACATTGTCGGGTTGGAGGGAACTGCTCTCTCTCTCTCATCATGCTTGCTAGTCAGTCGGGTAACCGGTCAACCATTGGTTCCAGTATGTTAAGTTGATTTGATGGACAGCTGTGGTGACTCTACCGCATCGGCCGAAAGTGAGCTGTTAAGTGGCAGTATAGGACAACAGCATCGCTCTGCTGTTTCATCTCTGCCGCGGATGCCCGTGCGCGCACTCACTGGGTCACTTTGCGAACATGGTACAACGTTTCGCGCACAGTTCTCCAGCGTCAAGTGCCTCACCCGAGCGAGTGCCGTACCTCCTGATGTTTGAACATCAGGAGGAAACATTCCAACTGCGGTTCGGGACAACTGGGCAAAACGATTCCATTCTCTATGGCAAACAAACAAACCCATTCAATTCCATCCGGAATGTCCAATCAAAACTGTCAGTCTATAGTTGTTACCACGAACAAATAGGAATAGGGGTCACATATAGCACACTAACACCAACACACACACACACACACACACACATCACCCTACTAAACAGTCAGTTAAAGGCACACACGTCTGAACAAAAGCAATACGAACTTGGAATGGGAAAATATGAGGGTTTTGTCAACTCTATTTGGGGGGGAGGGGGGAGTGGAGTGGTACTCGGTGTGTTTGAACTATGCCGCCCCGTGTTCCGTTGTTACTTACTGCTCGTCCGTCAACTGTCTTCGGGGCGGANAGACAGCTCCACTTTCAGACAGTCTTTCCGGTTGTATGAATTTCAAAGCATGACAGTCGGTGTACGTACATGAGGTTGACGTTCATTATCGACTTAAACTGGTCGTAATACTGACCGCGTGGTGACCGGATAAGTTTTACTACACACGACACACTGTTCCCTTATCCACTCGCCCTCATTCGACCCGGCACTGTGTATCGCTTGGGTCACAAAACCGAAAAGGGATATGAACCACATGCGGTCTCTCATTCACCCTGTCGCGCTGATTAACAAGAGGGGCGGGTGGTGAGGGTTTATCATCACCCGTGTTCACGTTAAGCGGGAAAAGTTAAAAACTTACTACTCTTTGTTCAGCCTCTTCCTCCTCCTGCTCCCAGCGCTCCCGCTTCTTCATGACTGGCAATTGTACTGTTTACTTCGTTGTTCAGACTACCACTCCGGTGGCCGCAATATTCCCACTAGATGTAGCCGGTCTACAAGCTGTGAGAAAGTCCCCATGTTTATTTTATTTTTTCTTCAAACTGCTCCAGAATGTTACATTGAGGGGACATTGATGCGATTGATTAGGCGCACAATACGTTCCGAGAATCAGGTTGGAATATCGATTTATCAAAAGATTAGGATTAAGAATTGGACCCTGGGCTGAAAACGCTCTCATACATAAGTGATTACGTCGGAAGAAAGTACAAGCTTTCAAAGCCGAAAAGCACTCTTCGGTCAGAGACCACTTGACAGCAATCAAGGTGGAACTGTGGAGATTAAACGCCGCTTATGTACATGCACTGTTGGCCAAAAGGAATTGTCGCGATACATGGAAAATGTTGTTTCAGTTCTGCGGTCTCAAAATCAATGAAAATCTGTCAGCTGCCAACGTG